TTCCGCACAACATTACCCCCACCCACACTTGCATATTGCGCTTTGGTGAATTCACTCATTGTAATTTGTCGAAATAAGTTTTTATTAACTTTTCTTAAATTTCTCTTTGTCCTAAATATTAAATTTTTCATGAAAATATTTTACCAATAAATTTAAATTCTTAAATTTTAAAAATATTTTTCTGTCATTTTTGTAGGAAAATCTTTATCTCACAGAAATTTAATTTGATCAAAATAATGGCTGACAAATGGAAAAGGAGATGAAAAAAATAATTTGAAATTAACTAATAACCATTTCACGCCGATCAATGAGTGTGTCACTCTTATTATGTCATGTAAGCAAAAAATAATAAAATGACATAATAAAATTTTACATTAGGTGTCTATAATAAACATTTGCCAATTAAGAAATCTAAATAAAATACCGTGTCAATTTTAGAAAGCAACGATAGATTAAGCCAAATTATAATAGAGAATAATGATTTTGTGATGTTTTGAATATTAACTAATATACATAAGTATCCATGTAAATAATTAAAATGAAGAATGACTCATGTTAGATTCCTCAATTAAGTTACAGGTGTGTCCCTTTTTTTCTTTAAATTTATAATATTTTTGAATATACATTTAAGTAACTAAATATTAGAAAATAATTTCATCAAGAAAGTAATTTACTTCATATTAAGTTTGTAAAAAGAAAAAAGAAAAAAGAAAACAAAAAATAAAAAACAAAAATAAAGAGACAAAAGTAAATATTTGTCTTTGACTAAAAAAAAGAAAAAATAGTCAAAACAATTATTGATATAGTTACACTGACTTGAGTAGGATGCTATATATATGTCTCAAGAAAGAAATCAATTGTATCAGAGCTTCTTTATCTGAAAAAGTATCTTAGACGTATAAAATCTTTGTTCTTTTTATTTCTTAAATGTCATTCGTTTAAAATAATAATTTTTTAATTATTTTTGAAGAATAAAATTTTTTCAATGATAGAGAATTCAATGATCAATTTTTATCATGACCTGATAAATGAAGTTTCTGTCTTGTTGATTGATGATGATAAAGAATTTGTCAATGAGATGATTTATCTACTCGAGTCTCACGAGTATAAAGGTGATGCACTACACCAAAAAAAAATACATATAGAACTTATTTTTTGTGAGATATGTTTTATTTTCACATTAGATTTTATTGATATGGTACTTGTTATCTTATTTTTATTCTGTTTTGCATCAATCGCCTTTTAGATCTCATTAATTTTTTAGATCTTGAATTTGTTTTTCTGGTTGACATAAAGTTGTTACTTGTTTATGTTTTTTCTTACTAGTTACTAAATGACGTTTTCTATAATTTCTTTTATAAGCTTGTCACACTCGATTAGTTTTATTCTGTATAGATCTATATAATTTTTATTGCTAGGTGTAGTTTATATTAATTTTCTTATCATTTTGTTTCGATTTTATCAGATATCCTCAAAGAGACATAATCAATATAGATCGTTTTATGTACTTAACAACTTACATATATGTGTTTTATCTTCATCTTTTTGTAGACAGAGGGAAGAAAATATTCTTTGTCAATTGATCTAAAGCGAAAAACAGATGAAGGAGAAAATCAATTAAATTCTTCAAATATAAATTTTAATTAGGGCTTAGATCTTTAATTTTTACAAATTTATTTATAATTTAGAGAAATAAATGGTTTAGATGTGAAGAAAGAGAAAGGAGAGAGAGAAACTGATGGGAATTAATTTGACTATTATTATTATTATTATTATTATTATCATTATCATTATTATTATTATTGACTTTGAATAAAAACTTCTTGTCTTTGTTAGGATGTAGACAAAAAAACTTTCACTTTTAAATTTTCCAAATTATTAAGATATATTTAACTCAAATAAGTAAAATTTAGAAAGACAACTTAATTAAAAATTGTATACATTTTTTTAATAGATGATAACTGATTTATTTATTTATTTGTAGATTTTTCATAAGATTTCCACACGCTTGATTACTTTTCTATGTGGAGATTTATGTTTTTTCTTAACGGATCTGGTAGTTTATATTAATTTATTTTTCATTTATTTCATATGATATCCTAAAGGAGGCATAATTTATATTGATAAATTTACCTACTTAATAGACTTATATGTGTGTTTTACTCTTGATTTTTTTGGTAGAAAATTAAAAGAGAAAAAAATATTTTTTATTGATCGATCTAGAGTGAAAGAGAGTGGAAGGAGAAAATTAATTAAATTCTTCAAGTATAAATTTAATTAAGATTTAGATCTTTGATTCAAATTTATTTTTAATTAGAAAAATAAATTATTTGGATAGTAATGGTACAAGATTAAGACAATGAAAAGAAAGAGATAGAGAAACAAATGAGGGTCAATCTAGTTATTACTATTATTGACATTGAAATTATTTTTCTTAATTTATTTCATTCTTTTATTACATGTATCTAGAATTAAATTAGTTATTTTTAAATTTAAAATAAGCATATTTGAATCTACTTTGATGAGACTTGACAAATATTATTGTTCAACATTACTTGTCATTACATTACTTTCTGTGCTTTAATTTGTGAGGACATTACACCATTTTCAGAATATTTGAAAAAGACACTAACATGATATTTTATAGTTAAATTTTCTTATGAGAAATAAATAAATTTTTATGATAACTTTTTGTATAATTTTATATTCCTATTCTTTCTATTATTTTTAAAAATGTTTTGATACAGTTAGGACAGTCGATACGGCTTCACAAGGAATGTCAATGCTCTCGAAAGGAAAGGAAAACATTGATTTGATGATTATCAATATGAATTCACCCGACTTGCTTTCATTTCAGCTTTTGAATCAAGCTATAACCTCAGATATAGTCTCAATTTGTAAGTATTTAATTTTACTCTTCATTTATGACATTAAATATACTTTAAAAAAAAATAGTTATCAAATATGTCTTTCATTTATTAATTCTAAGCTACATAGATTTTGGTTATAATATGACATGATTAGAAGTGAATTTTAATGTGTTATTTAGAGCCATAAATTCTCTAGTGCTCACTCTTACTTCTAATGATATAATAAGATACAATTTGTTTTATAAGAATATATATTGTTATAATACATAACAACCAAATTTTAATTGCTATCTTTTTAAAATAACAATACAGGTATTTGTGATGAATACGATACACGCTCAGCAAAAAAAGCTTTTGAAAATGGTGCTTATTTTTACCTGCAAAAGCCACTTCTCCACGAATATGTGAAGTCCATGTGGCAACTTGTATTGCAAAAGAATATACAAAAGGTAAAGGTCATTGATTTAGATAAACAAGAAAATGACATCCATGAAACTACAAATGGTGTTGTGTGTAATGAAAAGTACAAATTGAAGAGAAAGAGAGGTAAAAAGTTGATTGAAGAAAAAAAGAGTGAAAGCAGTGCTACTAAGGTTGTTATTCAACAAAAGACTCGTATTGTATGGACTGATGATCTTCATAGCAAATTTCAAGAAGCTGTGAACAAACTTAATGATGGCAGTAAGTTTATTTCACAATTATTTATTACTTCATACTTATAGTCGTGGTCAACTTACTTGGAATTAAGATAAATTGTTTTGTAGGATGTTTTCCAAGTGATATTCTAGAGGCGATGAATGTACCTGGTCTTACTCTATATCAAATCGCCAGTCACTTACAAGTATATTTCTCAAACTTCCTTACATTTCATAAGTGGTGAATTTATTTATATAATATTTTGTGTGTATTTGGTAAAAAGAAAAATCAAAAAAGAGGTTGTTATGGGAAAAATTGGGAAGTCATTTTCATAAAATAAGATTTTATACTATTGAAAGAGGAAAGGGTTTCAACCATGTTTAGTTTTATCTTTTTGAGTTTCATTTGGAATGCTAGGGATTGGAGTCCTAGGGTAAGTCCCAAAGTCCTGAATTCTTTCTTTCAATTCAAATTGAGGTAATAGTTTCTATGGTAGGGCTAACGAGGTTTCTTTTGCTTAAGACTAGGTGTATAAATAGGTTTATAGATCTCGAGATTAGTATCAAACACCAAAATAATTTTTTTTATTGCAAATAATTTGCTATTAATATTTTTTCTTTTGTAACACCTAACAGAAATATCGTAACAATACTTGGAAAGCTCCAAGGAAGAGAAAATCTACTTGTCATTCATCAAGTCAATTAGGAACCTCAAGTGGTTCTAGTAACCTTAGAATATTTGAGACAATATCTCATCTTAAAAGGAATGTTACAAATCTACAACAACAAGAAACCCAGAGAGCCCCAAAAACTCCATTTCTACCAAATAATAATATTTTTTCTAGAGGAGAGAGCTCAAGTTTGCAGAAGGTCTATCACCCACAACTTCAAGTTGATCCCCAGTACTTCAACCCATTCGATACCCCACTTTTATCATCGTCTGAAAATAACAATGTTGTTGGGCTACAACAACACGAAAAACCTTTATCCGAATCATGGGGATTGCAAGGATCAAACATTGGGACAGCGGAATATACACCAGGGCTAAAGTTTAACGAGATTAATCATGCTCAGAATAACTATGCCTTGGATGTAGAAAAATATTCAACAATGTTCGATACAAATATTACAAATCCAACAATTAATGAATTGGTAGCAGCAAATATTGATTTTCAGCAATATATCGGCGAGTTGCAAGGATCAAATATTGAGAGCGCAGATTATACACCCGGGCTAAAGTTTAATAATGGAATTCCTCATGCTCAAAATGACTATGCCTTGGATGTAGCATCATATGCAACATTGCCAAATACAAATATTGCAAATCCGACAATTGATGGATTGAGTGTAGCAAATATTGGTTTTGAACAACATATTGATGAACAAAATATGGTTCAACCGCTCAACAATGTTGTCACAACATCACATATGAGTGGTACTCAAGAAAGTGAGCCAAGTGAGATGATGAACTGCGATGAATTTTTTGATTTCGATAATATGGATTTTTTCTTTCAGAATGATGAGCCTCCAAGTTTTGACCTATCCAATGAACTTGACAGTGCGTTTGATCAAGCTTACTCTGATGATATGGTCGGTATTTCTATCTTAACTTTATTTTATGTTGCAATTTACTATCTATATATCGACTTTTGTCATGATGGTAAACAAATCAAATTTGATTTTATATTTATTGTGTGTTTGATTATTTATATTAGCTTAATTCGACATAAGCTTTTAAACCAAAATATTTGTGTTACATATTTATTTCTTTATATGCAGGCAACATCGAGTGCTCAATTTCCAGATATAACAAGTTTTCTTGATGATTCTTCAACTTGATCCAATGCAGTCTGAGTCTTTTTATGGAGATAACGCAAATTGCATCTTTCTTTTTTTTGTATTTTAGACTATGTAGTACTCTATGTTTTTTAATGTTTTATGGTACTTTGGATGGCAAAACTAAATCCTAAATATTTTGACTTATAGTCAAGATATTTGTTTGTTTAGCTGATCTACCATTTTAATACAATATTCCAATCTTTTCAACTTCTTTAAGTCAGGTAAAACATTGAATGACTATTCTATAAGTATATACATAGATGAATGGGGAAATTGAGTAGGTAGAAATATTCCTTTCTCTTTTGCATGTCTAACTCAAACTTGTATTCATAGAGAATATTTTAATACCTGCTAGAACCAATTTCATCCTTTTTCAGTAATAATAGAATTAGTATAAGTTCTTTTCAAAAATAAACAAATTAATATATATAGCATAAGTACTTTTTTTAGTTTGTGTTTAAACATTAAAAAATATTTTTTTTTGTCAATTTTAAATTTTAACTTTTCATCTAACATGTTTATGTTTAGAATCACAAGTGGATGACGTTGACTTCCACTTCTTATTTTCATTATTTCTCTCACCTTTGCAAATCGTCCTTTTTGACCTTGTTATACATGATATTACTCTATCCTTTGGTGCCAATGAGAATACGTTTCCAAATAGTAGTTTTGTTTCTATATCATTATCGTTTTAGAAAATACTCATTATTTTGTTAATCCTTCATTTCTTGTTTTCTTTATTTCTTTCGTGCTTTCTATTTCAGCTGTAGTAAATGCATATCGTTCAGTTTTTTTTTTGTCACTTATTTCTAAAATAGATTTTTTAATCTTTATTTGTCACTTTTGACATATCAAGAAAACACAATTATTTTTTTCTATGTTTTACCCTGAGCATAAAATACTTATTTTTCAAACCATTTTCCAAGACAATACATATATTACTACTTATTTTTTTAATAGATATTTAGGTGAACATGTGACAAGTAAAAATAAACAAAAAAAAGTATAAAACATGATTATTGTTATTTGTTGTTTTCAGATGATATAAAATTTGTGCTCTATCTTTTTAGTCCGTATTTAGACTACATGGTTCTCATTTAATTTCATCCCCAAATTAGTATATAATAAAGGCTTACTAAATGAATATGTCATTTAACTTTATCTCATTTTATATTTATATCTTTCAATTTTGATATACACAAGTAATACTTAAATTTGTATAAAAGTAAATGAATGGAGACTTGTGTCCTACGTGACATATGTCATACGGGCAGATTACTTCACCCAAATTCAGTGCAATAGGTTATCCTAATATGCAGTAGTCAACTCTCACTTAACTCAGTCCGTTCGCAGCCTACTCTGTCTACCGTTCATGGACATTTTTTATTTTTCGCCTTAGATTATTCTGCAACTTTAACAATGAAATGGACACATGTAATTATGGGCAAACCTAACCTTTATATTCATAATCAAAATAAATACAAAGGACTCACTCGTTGAAACAATAATTATGTCCAACTTGGACTTTGACTTAGGCACAATCACAAGTTGATTTCTGCATTTGACACTCTTTAAAACCCTCACGTTTTTTTCTAAGTGGCTTGGTTAAATTTCATACTTAATCTTCCCTCTTTCACACTTAGTATATGCAACATCTCGCAACTTGAAATAGCTAAGAATAAGCTAAGAAACTAAAAACAATTTTTTTTGGAAAGAAAAGGAAAAATCTAGAAAAAAATTCTAAGTTACGAAAGTGAGTTGGTGTAATTTTCAAACGGTCATCGCTCTAGCTCAGGGTGATTTAGAGTTGCTTCTGGATATGGGTGAAAAGATCTTGGAATAATTTTTCCAACGGCACCGAGTTTGCGCGATTTTGATATCGTATGAGTGAGTTATGTCTGTCGAAAATTTGGTTGTTAGATTGAGAAAGGTTCCAATCCAGATTTAGGGAAGGGAAAACTAATTTTCTATTTCATTTTAGGGGTTTATTGGGGTAAAAACAAGTCTTAGATTAGTTTGGAAAAGTTGGAATTATGATTAGGTCTTGGACAAGAGAAAAAAGAAGAAAGAAAGGGAGAAAAGTCTAGAATTCGCCTAGAAAGCTTTGAGAGTGAAATTCGTGGGGGTTCCCTATTAAGGTATGTAAGATCATTTAGTGTTGGGATAGTTCACCCACACACCAAACTTGTTTCAATCTATTGATTTTCGAGTTGGTTGGATGATAAAAAGTGAAGTTCTTGAAGAACATTGTTGAATTCTTGTTGATTGAGTTGTTGAATTCTAGTGTTGATTTGATTTGTGTTTCCGGGTTGTTTTTCAAGTTAAATCTATTAGGTATTGGGGTACTAATGATTTTAAGTATTTGAAAAAAAAACATGAAAGTTTAAAAGATTTAGAGATGAAAAAACGGAGGAGAAAAGTCGAGAACATCTATTCGTAAGGCCTTGGGGCGCCACGCCAGCCAGAGAGCCCCAACTTGGCCTCTAAAGTTTGGGGTCTAGGGCCCACGCCTCTCAGAGTGCCAAGGACGTCAATTCACCCATTCTTTCCCTACCTTTTCATACTAGTTTTTAAATGATGTAACTTCGTTTTCTAGTTCATTCTAACACTCTAAGAAACGTCTAAATGTCATTAAATCATACATACACATGAGATCATGAACCTTGAATCCATAATCCAATTCAAGGAAAATTAAGATTAAAGTCAAAGAATTTAAGATTCAAGTTTAAAAATTAAGAAGCAAGTCAAAGTAAGTTCTTAAGATTTCAAAAGTCTTTAACAAACGTTTTAACTTTGTTTTAAGGCTCAAGTTACAAGTCAAGCAAAGAGTAAAGAGTTTAGTTCATTTCTCAAAAATTATAAGGGAACTACGTATTCCTAATAGTCACAAATGTTTTCACATTTTGATCAAGAAAGGAAGCTAGACTTCCAACAGAGCCTTTGACTAGTTTTAGTAAAGGGGAAACTATGATTTCCAAGATAGCTTTTAAAGCTAAGTTTGAACAATTACCTGAAACTAGAGAAGAAGTTATTTGAAAACATATGAGCTAAGTATTTTTTTGGAGCAGTATTAAGAACCGATATGGGGATGCTAGTTAATATCAACTCAAGCCCCCATAAACCATGTAACCAACATGGATAAAAGAAGGAATATACTTTTTAGATGATTCCTTAGTGCTTTTTAGCATAGACTAACGAATACACTTAGTACTTCAGGTTATATACTAATGGCAAGGTATATGATAGTCCTCTTGAAAGGTGAGGTAAGACGTTGTACCATCACTTAGGCTCATAGTGATGGTTGTCGGTTAGATAATCTCTCATAGAAACTATATTACTTCATATATATAAGTAATGTTGAGTTCGTTATTGCATTTTTCTTTAAAAAACTAAGTGTTTTCATTTTTTAAAAAAGTTTTTATATATTGTATATGTCTTATTGCTTTATGTTAAGTCAAGTTATTCAAGAGTTAAGTAGAGCCAAGACAAGTGTTCCTTTTTAGTCTTTTTCAAGCTCAAGTTGTTGTTAAGTATTCCAACTCGCATACTCATATATTCAAAGTCCTGATGTCAGTTGTCCTGCATCATCTTATGAGCAGACGCAGGTAACCAGGATCAGCATCATCCAGCGCCTCGTTGATCCAGTTGAGCACTCAGAGTCAGTGGTGAGCCTCCTTACATCCCGGAGGACACTTCTATTCGCTTTTAGTCTTTCTTTTTAGGATGTTGTGGGATTTGTCCCAACATCCATCTTAGTATTATAGATGCTTCATAGACAGTTGAACATTTATTTTTAAATCTCTTATCTTTGTATTGTAGATATTTTGTTCTGACGCTTAAGTGTCATTTGGCCAACTTATTATCCTTGCAGTTATTAAATGACATTGTTTTATTGAGTTAAGTCTTCCACTGAGTTAAGTAAGTCAGACCAAGGGTTTTCTCAAGGCTAGCAATGGTTTTCGAGTGTCAACCATGTCGAGGGTGTAGGCTCAGGCGTGACGGTATAACAAGTCGATCCTCTGCCTATTTTCGTCCAACACCAAGATTGTCCATTTATAGAATATATGGCGGACTTGTGTTTTACAATGCATTGTTGTGATACATGTCTAACACTTGTCAAGCCATAAGCCCACTAAATTATATTTTAGTTGATATCCCCAACTGATAAGAAGCATTCAAATTTCGAATTCAAAAAGTTATTACAAGTTAAATGGATCTAGACACAAGCAGTTACAAAAAGGTAGCCGCCACATGTGACTTGGCTGACAAGATTTCGGCCCCTTGGTTGCATTTCCCTCCATAATTTTGGCTCCAATAAAATGTCTAAATATCGTGTATTCATTATCTCATCAAAGTCCACCCGAATTCATCCGCCTATTTTTCATGCATGCGCACCACCAACGCCTTGCTGCAGCCTGCCGCTACTTGCCTGTATTTGTCTTGGCCACACTAAACTTCAATCCACTCGTGTCCTTCATTGTTTCTTGTTGTTTTTCATTCACATTTGACTGTGCTTTAATTTAGCTTAGCTCGATTTTCCCGCAACTTTGCCCACAACCGATATCGGTCAGCATCAAAGACATGTCACGACATGTTGCCTTGCCAACGTCCATTTCATGTCATAACACTGTCTTTCCAACAATATTTGGTACCATTAGACTATGCTAACACTTTGCTTACACAACGCATGATTGATCCCACCCTTACATTGGCCCTCGACAAAGTCATTCATCTCAACCCTTTGCCGCCATCATGCCTATATCAAGTAACTACATCAGGACCCTTAGAACATCCCACATTACACTTTGTGTCCTCAAATATTATATCACATAGAACTCATGTGTCCACTATTCAACTTTATATAAGTTTAAGTGTCTATATACACCCAAAATTGAAGAACATAAATATGAAATAAAGTCAAGTTAAATGACACATATATGTATATGTCAATGATAAAACTCGTTTCTATATCTTGGACTAAATTCCATGTTTAATCGTCT